CAGGGATGATGTCCAATTTAGTTAAAGTAAAACTCAGAGAGGATGTAGAAGAAGAGATTATCGAGAATACACTAGAAGTAAATTCCAAATTAAGCTCAAATACTTACCAACGCGATCCAATGTCGTTGCCAACTTTGCTCTTTCCCAAGTTCTCTGTTAAAAATTGAATAAAAGGAACCCTAATTTGTGAGGAAATGGATCAAACATTTGGTTGCATCGATGCAACTAGTATCAACTACGATAGTGATTTGTTGAAATCATATGAATATTTCGGAAAATTTACTGTAATTGAAGCTCATGAACTTGGATTCAGCAACTAAATAGTACAATTATGCCTTAAACTCTAGGAATCTGACAAATAATACAAGTATATACACTCGAAAAAAAACAAATTATTACTTAGAGTTTAGAGATCGCGAGAATCTTAATTCGAGATTTATAGAGAATGAAGAATTTTAGGAGTTGAGGAGTTAAGGAGTAACACGCTACCTGGATCATGGGTTTTCCGAGGATCTCAACGAGGGGTTTGCCCTGAAATCGAGAAGAAGCGAACCGGGCTGGAATTATGCCCACTACTCGACTCCGAAACACGGTGGCAGATCGGCGGTAATAGAAGTAAGCGTGAGCACCGACCAGAGCAGCGGCGACGGCGACGCCGTGCAAAACCCATGCTTTGGTGGACATCGGACGAGAAGATTCAGCACAGGTCGACTTGGGGATCATCCAACTCATGGCTGATCTGTTTCACCGTGTGTTTACGAAATTGAAATAGTATTAAGTTTGTTTATTTGTGGCGGTTTACATATCACCTTGCCCTGCTTTTGCCCCAAAACTATTTTAGTCATGACATTAGAGTGTTTGATACGATGAAATCATTAATAAAATATATAATTTAGACAAAAAAAAAAATACTACAGTTAGATTGATAAGGCCTTCCGGTATGTATACCACGAACGGTTCGTTGTTTAGGTGGTCACAACTATGGCTCGTGCACACTACCAAGGACCTTTGTGGTTCGTTGTGCTTGTGGCCTATTGTGGTCGACACCATGGACTAAAATGTCCGATCAAAATTGGTCCATGTCCAACGGTTACTTTGGGCATTTACTCGATATCTTTTTTAAAATTTTTTACCTACAAACTTTCTTATAAATATCACAACATATTTCCTTATATTTTACACAGTTCTTCTTGATGGGTTTTAACCATAAGAACATCATATGTGCTCATACAAACCCTAATGCTTGGATCTAGGTTCCTCTACGTAAAATTCATAACTTCTACATACAGATTCCGTTTTCGTCTGTATTTTTATCGTTGAGTTCCTATTAATGAGATATTAAACTCTCATTTAGGTCGTGTAGGCCAAAAACCGCTCGAACTAAAATTTGAGTTTCGGCCCGTGCACTGCTATGCCAAATATTAGAAAATTCACAATTTCCTCATACGAAGTCAAATTTTGACGTTCTTTTTTTGTACGTTATCGGTTTAACGTATATTACAACTTTTGTTTAGATTTCTAAGGCTAAAAAGTCCTCCATAATAAATTCACTATTTTTACGTCTCCCAGTGTTGTGTCGGTTTTGCAGTAAAACTTCGATAGGGATATAACTTCTTCGTTATAACTCGGATTTCGGCGTTCTTTATATGTACGGAACCCTTGAGACGTATTCTACAACTTGGTTAAGATTATTTATCCTAAATAATATTTTGTAGAAAAGTCATTTTCGACCCCTATTATCTCTACATTGACTAGCCCGGATCTACGGACGTTACATCATAAGGAAGCCAAAAGAAAGACTTAATGCCTTTAAATTTGGTTCAAAACCCTAAAAATTAGGGTTTGTTAAACAACGTCCAACTCATCGACGTACGGACCATGAATTCAAACTTAAAAAGTCAAGGGTTAGCAATGAACTTTCTTGGAACGGGTGTTACAACTTACAACACAATTGTGCCCTCCTCCAACTTATTGTCACATCACCGTTTTGATGAGTATACCGTCCGTCCTTATATATAATGGGAACCAAAATGTTAAAACACCACCACAAAAAATTTCATTATCTTAGCCGAACGAAAAAAAATACAAAGACCATTTTTGCATTTACTCTGAAAAATTATTATTATTAATTTTTTGTAACGACAAACTAATCTACTCATAACTATCACCACCCATGGCTTAATCGAGATTTGAACTCATAACCTCTCAAATGAGAAAGTCACTCCTTACCGACATGCCAAAGACTCTTTGGTCTCTGCAAGTTAACTAAGGTTCTGTTTGATAGTTGCTGACGGAGAAAGTGCTGATTGAGAAATATATGTCTGGGTAAGAAGTCATGACCGAGTAAGAAACCATGTTGTTTGATTGTACATCTGACTAAATGTGTTGATTGATGAAAAATAACTATTTTACCATGTTGCTTTATAGAATGATTGATGAAGTTGATGAAGAGTTATAAAAACATACAAATTTTCATACAAAATGTAAATTACACATGAACCATTTGAAAATCCAAATAAAAAATTGTTAAGTATTTGTATTCTATGAATGTTGATTATATATATGATTAAACTTTGATATATAATTAAACTTTAATATATATAATTCTTGAAGTTTACGTTATATAGTAAAAATGGTTAAGTATTTGTATTATAGAAAATTTGATTTATATTGAATTATCTAATTTTCAATAGAAAATTCATAAAAAGGGCCCTTACTAACTAAAAGCCCAACACACATAAAAAAAATCATTGGATATTACTTCTTAGGTTACCATAAACCTAAATAATCACTCCCACCCTAATTAGTCCTCACTCTCACCCATCCTCTGTCTCTTCCTAATTAGTCACCGTGCAACCAATCAATTTGCAAATACAACTCTTTAAAACGAAGACGAAATAGTCGGAGAAGGGTATTACACCTCTGTTACAGCTCATGCACGTCTGACGTCCCCTTCTCTTGGTCATCATCTTCTGCTTCCACTTTATTCCTGCTCGTTCGAGAAGGCAGAACACATACTCGCAATTTTTGCTTGTTGCAGGTACATAAAATCGGCGCTGAAAGAGAGAAGAAACTGGGAAGGAAACGTTGAAAACTAGAACGTAGGGCAAGGGCATTTTTGGAAACGTCTCTCTCTTTCTCACTCAGACGATTTCCTTCATCTTTTCCGCTCAGATCTGGCTTACTGAATCAGACATCCAAATTTTTTTTAACAAACAACTTTTGCTGACCGAGTCAGCCAAAAACGTCTGAGTCGACTCGGTCAGACGAATATCAAACACACCCTAAACCAATTTATAAAGCATACTTACTAATGACACTGAAGGAAAATTAAATTAATTTAATGTAGTTGATATCTTTTATATAGAATATTTATTTATGAATATTTAAAGAGATTATATAAAATAGTGATAATAAATTAATAGTATAGACTATTTTTTTAGGAAAAATGACGCAACGACCCTATTATGTATTTTAACTTTACCCTTGTAGTCTTGAAAGTTTTTTTTTTCATGCCTTTTAAGGGAATAACGTTATTTTTTATATGTTCATTTGGTCACCTAACCTAATACAACATATTTCATAGGGCTGGTTCCGAGGATTCATTTGCCTAAGACGAGCCGGAAAAAAAGCCCTTGTGCTTGCAAAAAAATCCCCAGATCTTTTTATTTTCTATTTGGGCTAATTCTCCTTAACATCTAAAAGTTCCCAAAACCAACTCCAGGCTAATCTGAAAACCAAATAGTATCAATAGAACAGTTCTAAAAATTAAATTTGTATTACCCATAAAGATAATAAAAATCAATATTTTGCTTTGGTAATAACCAAATCTCATTAATTTTCACATTACTGTGACCAGATTTCATATCCAATAGTTTAAACAAAACCTCTTTCAAAATCAATCTGGTCAAAAAAAATAGGATCATGATTAATCTTCTTAAAGAGCTTCCAGTTCCTCTATTTCCATACGTAGTTAAAAGAGGCACCAAGAAGAAACTTAAGAATATCATTCTAAAGTTGCTTGCTTTCAATCTTCCATGCAATAAGTTTTTTTAGAACCCACAAACTCAATTACCCTTTGGCAAGCCTCTTTTGAGAAACCATAATCAAGTTGATCATTGCAAAAAAACACATGGCATGTCATTTGTGAATTCCCAATTCCTAAGTCGGTTTTGAGTTTTTAACTGGCCAAAAATTTCAAGCCACAAGATGAAATTGTGTATTAGAATTTTTAAGTTAACGATACCAAATCTGTCCCAACGATCTACTTTCTAAAGATATTATCAAGTTCACAAAATTTTAGAAACAAACAGACAAGGAGGGAGCGATCATATAAAAATCCTAGATGAAGAAAACGTACCTGATCTTGTAGCTTCGATGAACAAACGGAATATTATTCCATACAATCAAACCCAAATGTTAAAGGAAATGCAATTTGGTTGCTGAAGAGAAAATAAATCTTCCATTTTCAATTTTGCATATGATTTGCTCCATGACTGCTTGCGATTTGGTTGTTGAAGAGAAAATAGGTATGCTTTAAATCTAATTTAGGTCCTAATTGACCGGGATTGATTAGAAGAATTGCCACTGTCAAGGAAAACGAAGCAAAAACAGTCGTGTAATCTAATGGTAGATTAAGGGTATTTTCGGAATTAACATAAAAAAGGGCCCCTAAAAAAATGGGCCCTGTGCACATGCCCCACTTGCCCCTCCTTATAACCGGGCCTGATATTTCATATGCCATGTATCATTTCTGTTTGTTGATCTGCCTAGTCATACTTGATTATTTGACTTTTTTAATATAACTTGTTATTTGCCCGACCTTTCTAGTATCAGATTCGTCAATCAAAACCTTAATATCTGCTCTGTTTGTAATCTTATTCAATTGGATCAAAGAAGCAAATCTGCATTCGATGGCCAAACGAACTCTACCAATCCTCAAGCAACTGTTTCACCGACCAACTCTATCTATTTCAACCCCATCCTGATCTGTCGCTTACATGCCCCGACCAGGTGATGACGCTCCTCGTACAATCACCTTAATCCCCGGAGATGGAATCAATCCCCTCGTTACCGGAGCCGTCAAGCAAGTAATGGATGCGATACACGCACCGATTTACTTCGAAAAGTTCGATGTTCATTGTGAAATGAAGGTCATACCAATGAAGGTTATAGAGTCGATTAAGAAGAATAAAGTGTGTTTGAAAGGATGTTTGAATACTCCCATGGGTGGAGGGGTTAGTTTGTTGAATGTGCAGTTAAGGAAAGAGCTTGATCTGTACACTTCACTTGAAAATTGTTTTAATCTGCCCGAATTACCCACACACCATGAAAATGTTGATATTGTGGTAATTAGAGAGAATACTGAAGGGGAATATGCAGGGCTCGGACACGAGGTTGTTCCTGGTGTGGTGGAAAGTCTTAAGGTATACTCTAATCCAAGTATCGTTTGCTTTTATCTCGATCCAATTTTCATTGGATATGTGAAAAAAAATTCTAAGCTTAGAATCTTAGGTCAAATCTCCTTTGGGCTCTTAAAAAAGTTTAGGGAAGGAAATGATAGGCCCTGAAGAAGACGATTTGGATCTGATAAGGTTATGTAGCCTGAAGAAGATGATGAATAAGAGCTATATGTGTGAGTGTGACATCGTGTGAGATAAAAAGACGTGCCATTTTGTTTATAATCTCCCTATCTAATAAAAGAATAATTTTATTCTCCTATTGATATGTGTCATCTTATTAAGCATCTTAATTAATGCATAATTTATTCTCATTTTGCCACGTGTCATCATATTATATATCCTAATTAATACATGACGTTTGTAAATTGATTCTCAATTTCAAATTTCTCACTTTAATTACATTAAATTAATAACATTAGAATAAAAATAAAAATAAACTTAATACAAATTATAAAGTGATATAATTTCACATATTATTTAATCAATGATTAAAGTTTATATAACTAAAAAAATTACTTAATTATTAATTTATTTAAAATAATTGATTAATATTTTTTGGTTTTTATTTTAAAAGTTTAATTAATTGTATAACCGTGATTGCCACGAGTTATAAACTAATTCCTAATAAATGAAAATAATTTTGCCACATGTCACTCTCTCATTAAATTGGACACATGTTATTTTTTGGTATTTTTGAATAAATGTTTTTTCTATTTGTCATTTTCTCATTTTTTTTATTTTTTTAATGGGAGAATTTCATATATGTCCTTTTTAAACATCAAAATATCATATTTACCCAACTTAATTTCTAAATATCATATTTACCCTTCATAAAATTTCTAAATATCATATTTACCATTCATAAAATTTCAAAATATCATATATGTCCTTTTTAAACATTATAATATCATATATACCCTTCTTAAATATCAAAATATCGTATATGCACTTTTTAAACATCAAAATATTAATGATAATATCTAAAATATTCTTCATCTACAACATAACAACAAAAAAAAAAAAAAAACTAAACAATCAAAATATACATTATATAGAGAGAGTTGAAGATGAATATTTTTGTTTGTCAAGAGGACGACATTCCAACAATTTAGAAGTTCACATTCCATTATCATAGACGTAAGGATAATATCGTTAAATTTTTTAATTATTATAGTAATTTTAAGTTATAAAAAATGATTATAAAATATTAAAAACATTATAAAAAAGGATTTGAGCAAATATGATATTTTGAAGGTTTATGAAGGATAAATATGATATTAAGAAAATAAGCTGGGCAAATATGATATTTTGAGGTTTAAGAAGGACATATATGAAATTCTCCCTTTTTTAATTAACACATCATATTTACACCTTAATTAATAATTACCTTAATTAAAAATAATAAATAATTACAATATTACTTATATAGTATTTTTAATATGTTTCCTTTTAAACCAAATTTTAAGATTTAATTTCAAATCTAAAATTTCAAATTTAAATAAACTTCTTTTTAAATATTTATGTTTAATTATTTTTGTATTATCTAATTCGTATAACATACGGATCTTAAAACTAGTAAACAAATAAATGAATAGATCAATTAAATGGGCCGACATCAAGGGGTAAAAGGGTTACCCAATAAAAATCAATTAGACCCCACAAAAATAATTTTATTCCTTTTAAAAGTCACTAATTTTTTTTTAAGAACTAAACATAATATATATTCTTTTTAATAAAAAAAGTCGGAAGAATAAATTAATTTTTGAAAGAATGAATAGTAGCCTCGTCGACCTTGGTTCAAGCCCGGCGGTGTTTCTTCTCCTTGATTACTTAGTCTACTCGTCAATCTTCGATCCTAAGAAACCGACCTACGTCTTCCTTCCTCCATTTTTTATCTCCTTTTTCTCCCATTTCCATTTCTCAAAAAAGCGACAAAGCTGCACTGAGATATCCTGACGAATTAGGGCTTAATCGTTTTCGCATAATTCGATTTGATCTCTCTGTGTTTCGACAATGGCGGGGAGGTCGAGATCATCGATGACGATGACCGTCACAAACACGCCGGCCAAAGATCTCGCGTATACGAATTGCGCATATGTTTCCCCTTCCGATCTTCGTCAATTTGCTGTTCCTGGATCCAATCTCGCTCTCGCACTTGTTGGTGACGTGTTCGTTCTGTCTATAGCATATCCTTCACATATTAATCGTATAATTAAATATTATATGTGAAATGGTGATTATTGAATTTCGTGATGCTTGAAATTTTCTGAAATTGGATCGTTGTCTGTTCGTTATAGGCATTTCTCATTAGACATAACTGATTGAATACAACCTATGAATGGTGATACTTCTAAACATGACACAGTTTACTATTCCGCTACTCCTCTGCCTCTGGATCTCTCTCTCCATTTTCGATTTTACAGGCGAAAGAGAACGACGAGAAGTTTCATTTTTTGTGCAACCTTAATGTTTGACCCTCACGTAGTTTACTATTCCGCTACTCCTCTAGTAGTCTCTGTTCTAAATAGCGTAGGCTGTGGCCTTTTATCTGTGGATTGACTGTTTTTTTGTGATTGTTTGAGCTAGATAGTTAGTTAAACAATTAAGAATGTAGATTTTACTGATCATATCCTACAACTTCAGCTACATAAAGTGATTACTAGGTATTAATTATTTGTTTAATTGTACAATATCGTATGTGAATTGTTGCTACTGCTGTCACCTTGTAATTCTGTTATCAGGAAGGTCTTGTTTGTGCTAAATGTTTTAGCTGTAACATCTGCTGATAGCTGTTAGATTGGATTTGTTAACATTAATTTCATGTTCATTGGATCTTTTATAGACCACTTGAACAACTGGAACTGGTAAGAAATTGGTAATTCTCTAGCTCTTGTTTACATATAGATACTCTGGGACTTTTGGTTCCTTGTTCTTAGGGACTTTTGTCAATCAAATTGAACTAACTTCCTAAAACCTTGGTCGTATTTAGCTCTGTAAAATCTTATTGGTGTTTGTGCTTTAAAATTGAGAATCCCTGATTCCCTGTTTGTATGTTTAAGTGATCTGTTTGAGCATTAAATAACTACTGTTATCATGTTATCCATAAGAAAACAATGTTTCTCTTAACCAAAACAAACTGCCTACGATACCATACAAAGTGGGCAAATTGGTCTTAATGCCATCCAACGACGCCATGCAAGAGTTTCTACTGGAGATTCAGTATCTGTTAGCAGGTATGTGTTAATCCTTAGTCTGCTGTAGGAACTAAATATGTTTTAGCACTTTAGAAATCCCTTTTGCCAACTATTTCAGGTTTGTCCCACCTGAAGATTTCAACATTGCCTTACTTACCCTCGAGTTGGAATTTGTTAAGAAAGGGAACAAAGAAGAACAGGTAGTCTCCTAGACTCTTACTTTTAACCTCTTGCTTTGAGATTGCATGTTTCCATACTAAATTTTGATCTTTTTTTGTATTTTGCAGGTTGATGCTATTGTTTTAGCTCAAAAGATACGTGAAAGATTTATAAACCAGGTTATGACAGCTGGACAAAGGGTAACTTTTGAGTTTATTGGCAATGGTTATATCTTCACAGTCACCCAAGTTGCTGTGGAAGGCCAGGACAAAACAGACATTGAAAGAGGCATGCTTTCATCTGATTCATACATTGTCTTTGAAGCCTCAAACTCTAGTGGAATAAAGGTATTATTATTATTATTATTTTTCAGAATGAGTTGTCGATAAAATAGTAAAATACCCGTGTTTGTTTGTTTGTTGTTCAATATTTTTTTTTCTTTATTTTCAGATTGTGAATCAACGTGAGGCTGCTAGCAGCAATATCTTCAGACACAAGGAGTTTAACCTTCAATCATTGGGCATAGGTGGTTTGAGCAATGAATTTGCAGATATCTTTAGAAGAGCTTTTGCCTCTAGGGTTTTCCCTCCACATGTGGCAAGCAAGTAATGTTCTATGGTTATTAATATCTCATCTATCTATATAACATTTTCTTTGAAATATTTTTATAATTTTTTATTTTTGGTGTCAGATTGGGTGTAAAGCATGTTAAGGGAATGCTGTTATATGGTCCACCTGGCACTGGGAAGACTCTAATGGCTCGTCAAATTGGAAAGATGTTAAATGGAAGAGACCCAAAGGTACTTTATTTTACATTGAAAACATATTGGAAATATAAAAGATTATTAATTTTTGGTTGATTTCACAAATTAGATTGTAAATGGGCCTGAAGTGTTGAGTAAATTTGTTGGTGAAACTGAGAAAAATGTAAGAGACTTATTTGCTGATGCTGAACAAGATCAAAGATCACGAGGTAGGATTAAAAAATCTTGACTTTTATACAAGTTTGTTTCATTTTTTTTAAAAAACCTTTTTGTTCATATTTTTCCAGGAGATCAAAGCGACTTACATGTGATCATTTTCGATGAAATTGATGCAATCTGCAAGGTATGTCAATCCCATATTTTAATAATCTAACATATTTTAATTTTCATTTCCAAAATTTTCATCATAATTTTCTTTCTAAATTTTCAGTCTAGAGGTTCTACTAGGGATGGCACAGGGGTGCACGATAGCATTGTGAATCAGCTCCTTACAAAGGTTTGAACAACAATTTAAAGTCAAACTCTACAATCACCAAAAGGAATTAAATTAAATTAACACTGAATTTCAAAAATCCATTTTTTTAGATAGATGGTGTGGAAGCACTAAACAACGTGTTGCTCATTGGTATGACAAACAGAAAGGATCTTCTTGATGAAGCTCTTTTGAGGCAAGTCCATTAAAAAAATCCTGTTAACTAACTTTTAGTCTTTTACCATGTTTGCTGACGTGTCATCTCCTAATTGGCTAGGCCTGGTCGTTTAGAAGTCCAAGTGGAAATCAGCCTTCCAGATGAAAATGGTCGTCTCCAAATTCTTCAAATCCACACAAACAAAATGAAAGAGAATTCTTTCCTTGCTCCAGATGTCAACTTACAAGAACTTGGTATGTTTTTTAATTTATATAACTACATGTAAATATATCTTTGTATATGTAATGATTTGTATTTTAATGGTGTATAGCTGCAAGAACAAAGAACTACAGTGGAGCAGAACTTGAAGGTGTGGTGAAAAGTGCGGTTTCTTATGCTCTGAATCGCCAGCTCAGCCTTGATGATCTTACCAAAAAAGTAGATGAGGAAAGCATAAAAGTCACCATGGATGATTTCTTGAATGCTCTTCATGAAGTTATTCCTGCATTTGGTGCTTCCATGGATGGCCTTGAACGTTGCAGGTATAACAATTATCTAAACTTCTTCCTTTTTTTTAATAAATATATATTTTCTAATAAATAAAAATGATGCAGACTGAATGGAATAGTTGACTGTGGTCAGAAACATGATCACATCTTCAAAAGAACAATGCTATTAGCAGAACAAGTTAAAGTTAGCAGAGGTAGTCCACTTGTCACAGTTCTTCTAGAAGGTCCTAGTGGCAGTGGTAAGACTGCAATGGCAGCTACTGTTGGTATTGGTAGTGATTTCCCCTATGTGAAAATCGTAAGTTCTTTTCTTTTTTCTTTTTTTATTTTACAAAATCCAATTTCTTCACTTAATAAAATTAATATCATCACTCTCTAAAATGGTAGATTTCGGCCGAATCAATGATTGGCATCAGTGAAGCCAGTAAATGTGCACAGATTGTCAAGGTTTTATTTATTTATTTACTTTTGTCTCAGTTATTCTATGTTATACATTACTTGAGTTGTTTCTCATGAGAACACTTTTTATTATAGGTATTTGAAGATGCTTACAAGTCAACACTGAGCATTATAATCCTTGATGATATCGAAAGGTAATTTAATCTTCAAATCTCTATAATTTCTGCTTATTAATCTATTCATGATTTGCTAACTAATGCAGACTACTGGAATACGTTGCTATTGGACCTCGTTTTTCAAACTTAATTTCTCAGACATTGATGGTCCTCCTCAAACGCCTTCCTCCCAAGGTTCTCCTTCTTATCTTGTTACTATCCATAGGGGTAATTTTGGAAAATTAAATATCACTTTTCAACATTCAGGGTAAAAATATGCTGGTGATTGGAACAACAAGCGAGGTGACCTTCCTGGAGTCGGTTGGCCTTTGTGATGCTTTCTCAGTCACCTACCATGTTCCTACATTGAAAACCGAAGATGCTAAGAAGGTAATAGTAATTTACTAATTTGTCCTTATTCTTCTTATATAATTTATATGTTTTTGTTTTTTCTTCAGGTATTGCAACAACTTAAGGTGTTCTCGGAGGATGACGTGGATTCTGCAGCTGAGGCTCTTAATGATGTAAGATTCTTTTTTTAAATATTTTAATTTGGTTACAAATATTTAAATATATATATTTGTTTTTGGTGGTGTTGTAGATGCCGATCAAGAGGCTGTATATGGTGGTGGAGATGGCGGCACAAGGAGAATCCGGTGGAAGTGCAGAAGCTATTTATGCCGGAAAGGAAACAATTAAAATCTCACATTTCTATGAGTGCCTACAAGATATTGTCCGCTACTAGCCTTGTGGGGCCCTATAATATAGATCTGGTTTTGATTTGTATGGAAAACTGGAGCTTTGTTTTGTTTTTATTTATTTTTTCCCTACATTTGTTTTGGGTTAATAGCAAACCACGGGACAATTTGACAGCAGAGTTTAGTAATACTTTCTTTTGTGTGGGAATGTGTAGCAGACTGATTGATAGCTGCTAATTTGTATGCGTATGCGTTGACTGTTATTGGTTTTAAGAGGTGGAATTTTGGTTCAAGTTGAACACATACCAGTTGACCACATTTGACACCTTGGTAAATATCATTTAATTTATATTGAATCCAAAATACAAATTAAGACCTGATACATCATTTTATTTATTTAAATCAATTGTAGGAAAATATCCCATATTTTGCTACCCAAATGAAGACGACACCATATGCGAATATGCACTGTTTTTATGGAGAAGCGTAAGCTACATTGTTATGCTGCCGGCAAACTTGATGTTTGTCTGCATGGGCGGAAGGCTATAAGGGACTTGGGGGGCCATGGCTTCCATACGCTTTCGGCTTATAAGCATTATATTAAATATGAAATATGGTTTCTAATAATTATTAGTGTAATATCAATTTATTACAACATTCATTTCTTTAACACCGATGTGGGTCTACAACTTTACACTTCTCTTTTTAGACCACACCTTCATTCTCTCTTTTTATCTCTCACAACCAGGGGATCTGTATCTACACCCCTTCCCTAATATCTCATTTTCTAAATTGCATTTAATCCACATTTCATATATAAATGTTTTTAGAAGAGCAACAGATGCATTTATTCCACATGAAAAACAAAAACAATTGCAACAAAATGTTTAATTTTAATTTTAGAAATATATTTTCTGATCAACCATATAGTAAAAATGAAACCTTTTAAATACTTTACATTTCTATGAGTCTTAACGAGTTGAAGCTAGTTGACAAAGAAAACCATTGATAACTAAAATAATGTTTCTCTCTTAAAGTTGGGCATGACTGATATACATTTTTCAAATTCAATAGACATATCAGTTAGATCCAAATTCAATAAAATATTTTATATCATGTCATATTTATAGAGATGATCGTTTATGTTTGTGAGTTTTATTGAACAGATTGGTTGAAGATTGGGTTAGAGCTTGTTTAATAAAGTAGCCCCAAATTAAGCTTGATCTCCAGTCAAACATTAAATGAATCGATCTGAATGGCTCATTGGTAGCTTGCAACTTGCTCACACCCCTATGTATAGTGTTCTTGTTATTGAATTTTTGAATGTTTTGTTGGTAGGAGCGTGCAAAAAAACCGAAACCAAACCCAAAACCGAAAAACCGCAACCGAAAAAAACGAACCATTTGAAAAACCGATGGTTTGGTTTTTGTTTTTGTAAAAACCGATCTTTTAGGTTTGGTTTGATTTTTCTACATCTAGAAATCGGAAAAACCCGAACCGAACCGAAATACACCAAATGATGTCGTTTTATATATAAATATCACACCATTATAAAGTAATTCATAAAATAATAAAAATTAATATTCTATTGTGTAGATGAAACGGTGTATGATAGGAGATGTTAGATGGTTAAAAGTTTAAGAGTAAATTACGCGAATGGTCCCTATGGTTTAGGGTAATTTGCGCGTTTGGTCCCTAACTTATTTTTTTAACTCGGAAGGTCCCTATTGTTTGTTTTTGTTACGCACTTGGTCCCTGTCTTACCTAAAAAGACTATTTTTTCATTGATTTTTTAATTTATTTAAACAAACACACCCTTAGCCCCACTCCTCTCACCTTACCTTACGCACCCCACCATTTTTCCCTATTTAAATAATTGTATTTTTAGGTAAGACAGGGACCAAGTGCGTAACAAAAACAAACAGTAGGGACCAAGCGCGTAACAAAAATAAATAGTAGGGACCTTCCGAGTTAAAAAAATAAGTTAGAGACCAAACGCACAAATTATCCCAAACCATAGGGACCATTCGTATAATTTACTCAAAGTTTAAAAAGATTCAAATCACATACATCTCACATCGATTGTGAGATTCAAAAATGAAGATTTTTTTGATACTATAAAATGAAGGAAAATAGTTAACTCAACCATCTATTATTCGTAAATGAAAACTCATATAAAAAATAGGCACCAATCTTTTTTTATTTTACAATAATTTCCATTTTGTTTAATAGGATAAGACATATTGCATATTTGTATTGGGATATATATATATATTAAATAAGTATAAGCTTTTAAAATTCAGTGTGCTGAGTTTACTAATTTATTAATTAAAAAACCAAAATATAAAACCGAAAAAAACCGACGGTTTGGTTTTTCCAAATCCTTTTGGTTCTGTTTTGATTTTAGCATAAAACCGAATTAAACCAAACCATGCTCACCCCTATTTGTTGGTTTTGTATATGGTTCCAAAATTCTTGTTTTGGCCCCCAGTTCTAATGCTTGTCTTCTACCCCTTTATGTCCATCAATGGCGGTTTAACGATCAACACTTACTCGGGTATCACCCACTTAGACACATAATAGGTCAATCACACGGGCGATTGCTTCATTGGGTATCTCCCATCAATGATGGTCTAACGACATTCATATGATTTGTCTAACGACATAAATTTTTTGAATTAATAATAAATAACATTTTTTTCTTAAAAGTACAAAATGACAACATTTTTTTTCCTTTAAAAGTACCGGAACACATTATTAAAAGTTGCACAAAAAATAAATTAAATAATTTTATGGTAAGAGGTGGAAGAGTCTATTTTATCGGTCCAAATATCTATATGGTTGGCAACTAGAGTTGATGGTTTGCTGTAACCGTATGTGAATCGGATATATAAGGATGAGCATTCTCATAGGCTTTCAGAATCATGATGAAAATAAGGAAAATGAAGATATACATGCCTAGTAGACAACTCAAGCCATGTTTGGGGAAGTTGATTCATCCCATTGAAGTGGTTGAATCAATAGAGAAAAACGTATGTATGCTAAAATTAGAACCTGTTAGCAGATTTACTAGACGTTGAAAATGTAAGCACCATTTTTAAACAGTTATAAACCATCAACTAGAACATCCATATTCGGTACGGTGGTCACAATTCACTTAAATTAATATTATAACACTTTCTCATGATAACAATTATGGCTCAAGAGTATATAGCAAGTATTTATGATGGTCTTGTCTTGAAATGAAAAAGCTCTCATAATCGATTTGTCAGTTTCCTATTTAACGTTGGTGATTTTAGTGTCATCATGTCATTTTATGTAACCGGAATTAACATGTGAGATAAGGGCTTCATAATTTGTATTATAATATATGTACGGGTTTGTGCGGAGTGCACACATGTATAAAATCGAATTAAAAGTCGGTTCGATGACAAGTCAGGAGTCCGAGGGCAACGCCCCTGGGTCCGAGGTTTACAGAGGGACAACGCCCAAAAAACTCTCCGAATTTTACATATGGGAACATAATGAGAAATTAGGTTTTTGAGGGTGATTATCGTAAAACTAACAAAACTCGTTAGTTTTGGTAACCCTAAATCCTCATTAAAATCCAGATTACCTTGACTTGCTTCCAAGGCAACTCATGATGGCTCAACCTTAATATAATAGACTCTTCCTTCTCGTAATTTCTTCAAACTTTCACATAATCTTTCTAGCAATTTGGCTCACGATTTCTGTGCCTAGTATCGTAAGTGTCCACTTTGATTATTTTAGGCTGAATTTCTTGCAACCTAGGCATAGGGTAGAAATATCAGTTCGGAAAGTATTCTCACGATCCAAATTGGTATCCAGATCTCCACCAGAAACCCTAAATTTCTAACATTTAACTCAATAAACCTTTAAAAAAACTCATGAAATAAGTGAAGATCTAAAGATACCAAGATATGTAGATCTAGTTCCACTAGTTTTAAAGTTCATATGGAAAAAATATCTTAAAATTTTTATTTTAAACAAAATTTATTAATTTAAAATTTATTTCATATAACTTTTAAAAGCTTACATTTAACTTTTATGTTTAATATTATTTTGCACATTTAAAAAATTTATAACTATTTTAACCGAATATTTCTATACAAATTAAAACTATATCGTCCGGCTTACCAACTAATTTTGCTTATAAAGTCGTCTATTTAACGCGTATTGAAAAATTGAAAAAATATCAAACTTGATGAAGAAGGAAAAAAAGTAGCTTAAACCGTCGAGTTTGGTAGTGCCAATCCGACACCGATTTCCATATTTATGTTACAATCAAACCAATAAGAACCCTCCACGTGGACACGACAGAGTGGTTAACCACTACCAAACCCACGGAAAACAGGCCAACGATTCCTTCTCCTCTGCCCCAAAATCCCCAAATCCAATCTCTACTTTTGTCACTAACAAGTCTAGAGAGAGAAAGACGATGACAGTGAGCAATTGTCGCCATTAATAAAGCTCCCACACTCAATCCTCGCTTTCCATTTCCCCAATTTCCTTCTTCTTCTTCTTCTTTTGATTCTTTAAATTCAGTTTACAGGTTTTATGTGATCGATCCCCCATGTCCTAAAACTCGAATCTTCGTACCTTCGAGCTTAAATAATTGAAACCCCTTTTCGAAACATGTTCTTCGCTTTCCCCAATTGCTAATTCACCACATTTCTACAACGTGTATTTTCTTCGAAATTCGATTTTGGTGGCCGTTTTGTTTCCTCTGATGTTTAGTTTCGACTCATCTTATCATCAAACACCAATCAACTCTTCATCCAGCTCGATCCCTTCAAATTTCCTTCACCCCACATATTCCTGCTCTTTCTCCCGTTTGAATTTCATCAAATTCCGCCTAAAAATCTGATCTTTTTTTCTCGATTTGACAAATGGGAGATCGATTAAGGTCAGCCACGTTCGATGACTTACCATCGCATTTGATTCTCGAAATCTTGACATCCGGAGCCCGACTGGGCGGGTCGGATCTCGTCTGTTTGGAGCTTACTAATACAACTTTTCGAGGTACCCCTGGATTGGTCCCTCACAAGTTAAGATCTTTGGTTGACTTTGCAGCTTTTCAGCTTTCTGGGTCACATCCGATATTCGTTTCCTTGAGTTACAGAGCTCAAGAAGAACTGTTAGCTCGATGCAGTGGTAACTGGAAGAAGGTTTTGAGATTCTTGCAATCAGTCCACCAGTCTTCCGACATCGTCGAAACCTCTTCAGGGAATGTATGATTATATCCCTAATCCCTCTTTGTTATATGTTCTTCTTACTATTTTCATGATTACTTGATACTTAATCTATCTTTCTTACAGATGCAAATCAGAAGCGGAAGGTATCACACATTACTGATCAAAGATTCAAAAATTTACTCCTGTGGTTCGAGTTTATGTGGTGTTCTTGGTCATGGCCCCGAAACAACAAATTGTGTAGCTTTCACTCCGATCAAATTCCCATATCCTGTCAATGTCACCCACGTTTCAGCCTCACATAATCATGCTGCATTCGTCGCAAAATCGGGAGAGGTTTCTAAATACTTTCTATACTTGTCTATCTTCATCTTTTTCAACACTCTTAATCGTTATACAAACTATAAAATGTTTGTAGGTTTTCACATGTGGTGATAACTCATCGTTTTGTTGTGGGCATAGT